AAGATGTCTACTTGTGTTTTACTGACTATGCTTTGGCATTTGACCGCGGGGATCGTAACCAACTAGAGAAGAATGAGAATTCCAGAACACTTCGTGTGCTCATGAGGAGCAGAACAAGGGGATCGTGCATGGCTGAAAAATTAGGAAAGATGTGTGTTGGGATCTTACCATTCTTATTCAATCTGCATGCCAAGCACATATCTGAGAATGTAGACTATGTGAAGAAGAACTTGCACCAGACGAGGAAATTCCACAAGTCAAAAGATTCAATTGCTTCAACAAATAAATAGTAAGCATAAGACAAGTATTAAGGAGGCATTTGTAAATTTAAGCAAATTCAAAAATCATATTAAATTTGTATAAAGAACAAAACAAAACTATAAAATTCAGGAGTGTTTACTAGGGTGATGGAACTATAAAGAAACATAGCAAGTGATTGCCTTAATGATTATATATGGGAGAGAAAATGTATATGAGTAGTTTGGGACAAATGGAGGGTCATTTTGGTGACTGGCAAATATTCCCAATCTAGGTAGGAGTCACAAGGGTATTCGCCGTATAATAATTCATTTTATGGCTTCCTGTATATATTTTTTAATTACCAACAAAAATTGATGGGTGGCAGACTTTATGGCACCTTCTCAGAGCAATGCACGTTCATAGTGGGACTTTTGTATCTTTTTATACTTCCCTAAAGTTACTATAGGAATTACAATTTCTTGGGTTGAACACTAGGGTGTGCACTTCATCATCGATAGCATCTGCTTCCTCTGGTGACTGGGGATCTTAAAGGTTTACGCCACACCACATAAGCATCCGGATAAAACAAGTTATTGTTCATGTTCTTTATTTCACGGTTGGCGGAAATCAGTGCCAGTGTTGCATAAAGCCACTCCAGAATTTATTTGAAAAGTTAGATCCAACATGTAAGTATAGTGTCAATACTGCAGAGACTCTTGTCAGGCCCATTGGGGCAGATGTAGATGGGATAAAAAGGCCTTTGAGATCCCTTTTGACTCATTTTTAAGTTGCTCCTGTTTTCAGTATTTTCTACTCCTTTTTGATTGAGCTTTTGCTGTTTTGTCTTTGTGGCTGGTTTTTGTTTGTTTGTATTTCATATGATTTTCTATATATGAAATCCAGGATAGGTAAATTTATAGAGATACTAACTTGTTCAATTATTACGTAGGGACGTAGCAGAGGAGGATGGGGGGGAATGGGGAACTAACAACAATGAGTATAAGAAAATGTTCTGACAAAGGCCTTACGACTAAAACCTACCATACTCTGCTCGCTTTCAAAAAGAAAAAAACTAACTGCCCACTAAGGAGGTGGGCAAAGGACCTGAACAGAAGTTTCACAAGGGCAGAAATCGAATGGCCAATAAGCATATGAGAAAATATTCCCGATCATTAGCATAAGACAACTATGAGATACCACCTAATATCCTCAAAGACAGCCCAATTCAAAAAATCAGAAAGCAGGAAGTGTTGGAGGGGCTGTGGTGAGATAGGAACTCTCATCCACTGCTGGTGGACCTGTAGGTATGTACAGCCACTATGGAAATTGATTTGGTGATATCTAAAACAGATGGAAATCGAACTACCATACAAACCCAGCAATCTCCCTATTGGGAATATACCCAGAAGAAGCAAGAAACAAACCACGGCCAGACATCTGTGCTCCGATGTTTATTGCAACACAGTTCACAATCGCAAGGAGTTGGAAACAAATTTCCATCAACAGATGAATGGATTTAAAAACTATGGTGCATGCATACAATGGAGTACTACGCATCCCTAAAAAGCAGTTACGAATGCATGAAGAACATTGCCGCATGAGAAGAACTGGAGGAAATTATGTTAATCAAAGTAAGCCAAGAGCAAAAGGACAACATGAGTCTGCTGAGGTAAGCTTAAAAATGCAAAATGGGCATAGAGGAAAAGCTACTATATACATACATCCCTGGGATGAGGTCCAGGTACTGTGGTGGGGGGCCAAACCCAATCCAGGGATACATGTGGCAGGAATGGTGGGGGGCCAAACCCAATCCAGGGATACATGTGGCAGGAAAGGAAAGGAAAAGAAAGAAAAGGGGGGGGAAAGATATGGGTAGCAGAGGAACAGGGCACTAAACCACCCAAGAGGAGGGTATTGTTTATAACTCCAGAGGAGAGGGAGAGAGGGACCAGGCTTCAATCCCATCTATCAAGACATGGATACAACTTACCAGCATGAAGCAGGGAACCAATTGAGAGGTCTTCAGGGTGGGCCCCAATCCCAACTATGTAGACAGTCCCCCCTCCCCTCCCAAAAGAATGCACTACAGAGGACAGCACTGAAGCTACAGCTCAGGGAGGGGGGCATGTCTCATCAGAGCACACAGAAGCAAATGAAGAGGGAAGGAGAGAGAGTGGAGCACATCCTGCAACATCAAGCCCTGAGGACGATATTCCTGCTCAGAGCACCCAATGCACAGAGAGGACCATAGGGCCGGCCCCACCACAAGACACAATGTCCCTCACTGACCCAAAGCGCTATGGGGGATAACACTGGAGACACAGTGCAGGAATTGTTCCCATTCTGAACTCACCACACCGGTGCAAAACGCTAAGGGTGTGCAACAGAGCAGCAAAGGAAACAAAGCAATGAAGTTCCCAGGGAATACCAAAACTAGACTTTGGGGCCAGAGCATGCCACCCCATCAGACTGGACTGGAAAACACTCCTAAAGGTCAACAAACAAACCTGGAACTATTTATAGGCTTTTCTTTTTTTGTCAGTGGTTTTTATTGTTGTTATTTTGGTTTTTTGTTTTGTGTTCTTTTGTTGCTTTATTTGGCTTTGTCTTGTTTGTGTGCTTAATATTGTCTCTGCATGTCTATCTAGATAAGACAGGTGGAATAAACAATTCAGAAGAGAGAGGGAAGTGGGGGAAAGGAAGTGGGTGTTAACAAACCCAGGGGCGGGGAACAACAAATGATCTAAAATCGATGTTGAGAAGGGCATAAGAAGACTGGTGGGGCTTAATCAAGGGCAATGTAACCAAGAGGAAATTATTGAAACCCAAATGAAGGTCAAACATGATAGTGGGACAAGAGAAAAGTAAAAGGAAATAGAGGAAAGAACGAGAAGGCAAGGGACATTTAAAGAGGTCTAAATACAGGCATGTAAATATATTTTTATATAATGATAGGGAAATAGATCTATGTGCATATATTTATATGTTAGGTATTAAGGTAGCATACGGACATTGGGCCTCAATTTAAGTACTCTCTCAATGCAAGAACACTTTGTTCTAATAACATGGCATTCCGTGATGCTCAGCTTCCTGACACTGTCACTGAAGACAAAATGGGTGCATAAGCAAATGTGGTGAAGAAAGCTGTTGGTGCCCAGCTATCAAAAGATAGAGCATCTGGGGTCTTGAAGGATTGAAGATAAACAAGTGGCCATCTAGCTCAGAAGCAACAAAGCCCACACGAAAGAAACAGACCAGTCTGTGTGATCATGAGGTGTCAATGGGATCAGGTATCAAGCATCAAAGACCCAGAACAAAAAATCATATCAATGTGAATGAGGGGGAGCGTGGAGTGGAGACCCAAAGCCCATCTGTAGACAGTTGGACATCCCCTCACAGAAGAGTCACAACAAAGAGTGCAGTGTAGCAATGATGAACCATACAGCTTTCCTCTAGTTCCTAAATGTTTCCTCTTGCCCCTCCCCCCACCAATATCATGATCCCAGTTCTACCTTAAAAATCCAGCTAGACCAGAGCATGTACATGGTATAGATAAGAGCTCGCAACACAGGGAATCCAGGACAGATAAACCCCTCAGGACCAATCATGAGAATAGAGATACCAGGAGGGGAAGGGGAAGGTGGGGGGAGAAATGAGGAACCAATCACAATGATTTACATATAACCCCTTCCTAGGGGGATGGACAACAGAAAAGTGGTGAAGGGAGAGATCAGTCGGTGTAAGACATGGGGGATAAAAAATTTATAAATTATGAAGGGTTCATGTGGGAAGGAGCATGGCAGAGGGGGGAAATAAGGAACTGGTATCAAGGCTTCAAGTAGAAAGAAAATGTTTTGCAAATGATGATGGCAGCATCTTACAAATGTGCTTGACACAATGGATGTTATGGATGGATTGTGAAAAGAGCTGTAAGCCCCCAATAAAACGATTTCTTAAAATAACATTTTAAAGTTCTGAAATTGATTGTAGTGATGATTGCACAACTCTTAATATGATTGAGCAATTAAATTGTATAATAGATGAATTCTATATCAATAAAACTATATCTTAAAAGAACGCAACGCTCAAGGTAGACATAAGTTAAGCTGAACTATTTGGGGGCTTTAACAAGGCTTGAGAGAATATTTTTAGCTTGTTTTAAAGACTGGAAATTACATTTTAAGATATGTTCTAACTTTAAAAAGAAACTACAACTTTCTATTCTTTTAAAGTAAATTTATGTCATTATAACAAAACCACAGGGCCCTGTGTGTGAGGAATGTGAGTTGGAAGGCTTCAGAGTGGCTTTCTGATAACAGATGAGACACCCCGTTGGGAGAGGAGAGCCCCCCTAACATGTCACTCAGGTCTGTGAGGACTGAGAAGAATGGACTAACTCAGACTGGCCCTCTGAGAGTCAGTGAAGAGTAAGAAGAGTTCTTCAAAGGTTCAAGACATTGGCCCCAAAGAAGCTAGAAAGCAGAACCGTGACTGCTGAAAAACTGCCTTTACTTACCATGTTCGCTACCAACATGACATTGGCTGCTCAACCCAGGCACCTCAGAAGAAAGGCCTGGCTGTCTACTTCCAGAAAACCAGCCCTTCAAAACCTTATGGTGCACAGTTCTACTCTGACACATATGGGGTTGCCATGAGTCAGGCTGACTCAAGAAGGCCTGGCCTGGACTATGGAAGGACCTGCTGTGTGCAGGGTTTGATTGACAGGAGCTGAGGCTACCCTTGGTGCCCTCGCGTCTTACCTGAGGAAGAGGCCCTCTCTTGTAATAGTTGCTTGTCGTTTCTCCAAGGGGAGTAACAGGGGATGCAGCCTCTTTCTGTTCACGAATTGTGGACTCCAGAGGCTTCATATCGCTAAGGAAATAAAAAGTTAATGAATTTTTCAGAGGTTGAGGAAACAGATGCTTTGAGATTTTGATTTTTTTCCACAAGGTTGTAATAGATAAAACAGTAACTTTGCCATAACTCCCCAGCCGCCACCCCCACCCCACGTAAAATATGGTGTCCATGCATTTAGTTGTGTATACAGGTAGTGCCCAGGCATCCAGGGTTTCATTTGAGACTAGGGCAAGCTGGTTCTGACATTAGAATATTCTGTCTCTCTCTCCCTCCCTGCCTTCCTTTCTCTCTTTATTTTTAGTTTTTATTATTATTGCCTTTTATCATCAGTATCTTTATACATCCTGGTTTTGAACATCTGCAAGTGAACATCTTAAAATGATAACACCAGCAATAATGTGCTGCCACATTGTATGTAGTATATATTACTAATGATAAGATAATTTGCACACACAAAGGGGAAAAAAGGTGGTTGTAAGTGCAGTTTGTCATAACTCATGCATTATATAAGTAGGAGACTACCTGTACATTGTTAAAGTGAATTTAAATGACCCATTTAGCTATTTCTGGAGATTTCATGTATCAGTTCATTAGAAATACTGTGGAGTGACATGACCAGGCAGTAATTATAATATCTTCACATTGAAGAGGCGGAATGCTGATTGTGAAGGAGAAACTGGCAGAAACATTTTTGGAGGATTGCAGAAAAATAATCCATGCCATGGCTTTTTCCTAAGTTGTAATGTTCTTTAGGGACCCCACACCTAACTCTCAGAGCCAATGTCCACTCTCTCTTGGCCTTAATTTCTTGATTTTGCTATAAAAGAAATGCCACAGGTGGGTGGCTTTCACAAATAAAACTGTATTTTCTCAGTTGAGGAGATGTGAAGTGCCAGCTCGCTTCCCATCAGCTCTGGGGGAAGATCCTTGTCTCTTCCTTCTTTCCTTGGTGATTTTCGTGCGGCATGGACTTGATCTTCCATCACCTGTGTTTCCTTGCTTCGGGGCATCCTCTGCCTTTTTATACAGTAAAGCGTGGCAAAGCTAGACCCCGTGCGTGCTAGGCTGGGTTTTCTAGAGAAACCAAGTCAGTGGCACGCATATATGTAAAATAAAGCAATGTATATCAACAAAGCAGACCTCCGGCTGCAGCGCAGCAGAACCAGTCCAGCTCATCTGTGACCCAGATGTCCTTTCTGACTCATGCAGCTGCCGGCGTTGCAGAAAAGAAAGCTGGAAGACAAACGAGGAGGTGGGCGGATGAAGCAGGAGGTGGGAAGACTTCGGCCGGCAGTGGAAGCAGAGTTGAGCAGATTCAAGACAGGTAACATGGCAGGCCACCAACAGCCCCCAAGGCTAGCAGGTTACATGGCTAAAGCCCTTGAAGACATATAAAAATGTAGGGGTAGAGCCTAACCTGTCAATCAGGTCACCGCCTGATGGTATCTCCTTGTGGGGATGGCCTTCTCATAAGGAGGACCCAGGGAGACTGCCCCCCACTCTCTGCCTCCACCTTCTTACTAGTGGACCCTGGTTGCTGTAAGAGCCCTAGAGATGTATCCACTGCCACTGGATCCACCAGCCTTTGCCTCCCACCAGCATGTGATATTCCTACATTCTACCTTATTGCTTGTGACTGCATGAGTCTGTAGAGGGACTTATGGACTAGTATCAGACTTAGGGACTTAAGAGTTTGACTGAGCTGGGATGTTTTCCTGATACACAAAGCTTCTTGATATAAAGCTCTTTCTTACACATATATGAGTATCACTGAATTTGTTTCTCTAGTCAACCCACCCTAACACAAAACCCAAGGAATCAGACTCAGGGTCCAGAGGAAGAAGTCAGGAACAGAAAGAGAAAATTAAATGTACAGCTAATTGCCTCTGTGAATAATTGCTTCCTTTGCCATGATACCCGAACCAGATGATGCCAGCTATCACTACTAATAGATGTTTTACCAGCTCCATTAGCATACAATTCACACAACTCAACAGTTCAGTCATATCAAGAAGAGTTCCACAGTGACCACCACAATGCGCCCCAGAACAGTTTCTTCATTCCTGCGTCCATTGTCACCAGTTCCTTCTTTCCCACCCACCCCCTCCTGCACCCCATGCCCAAGGAACCACCAACCCAGCCACTATCCCTACAGATCTACCCATCCTGGACACCATACACAGAAAAACACTGGGGAAAAAATAAAATAAAAAAGCAAAACACATAAAAATCTCAATATAAAAGAAAGCACCAAAAACCAGAACACATCCAAATGGATCATAAGGGAGATCAAATAACAGGACTCCAAATTTCAACCCAACGACATATGCAACAATCCCCCAGGACAGGGCCACTCGCATCCCACTCCATGGTCAGAGGGGATCCACAATATGAACCTCGCCTTCTTAAACAGATGTCCTCATTGTTGAATATCTTAGAAGATAATGGGTTTATGGAGGGGAAAAAATTCACAGAAAATGAGATCGCATAGCTCCAAGAATGTAATCAATGTCACTGAATTGTGCATGTAGAAACTGTTGAATTAATGTGTGTTTTGTTCTGTATATTGTCAACAACCACAAAATTTTTAAAAAGAAAACAAAATCTCACTAATTTGGATTAATGGAAATGACGGCCATACTAAAAGGTTTTTAAATTATAATTCTAAACAGATTTTTTTTTTCATTTTAGCAGCAGACTTTCTTTGCTGCATTTAAGTTTATATAATAGCTTAACCTGGGAAATGTTTCTAAGAAGTCGAAAATAAAATATCAGTTGTTGAATCCAGATGTTAAACGTAACTCTGTCCATTGTCAGAGTTTCAATAAAGGCCCCAAATGACAGACATTAAGCAGCAGGTGCCAAGTCACTCAGCTCTTTCAGGTGAGATCCTAACTGGATTGACCATCCTCATAGGACTGGTAAAGAGGCAATTCCAAGTGTGCATTCCACCAGCATTAGATTACCACCTTCTTTTATCCTTATGAAGAGGCTAAGAGACTTTCTTTTGAATTGTACCTTGTGTCTCCTCTCTACTCACCATGGAGGAATGGATGAGGGTCCTTCCTCCTCACCTTAAGCCAATTAACAGGGCTGCAAAATGTCCTTAGCAGAACTTAGCACAACCCCTTTGAATTGGGGCATATGAAGATGAGCATTTTAAAGGTGAAAGGCCATGGCAGAACGGCTTTGTCTGTGGGCACCGTGAGGAGAATCGCTTGGGAATTAACTGTACTTCCATTATTGGCAGGACAAAGTAAAATGTTTCTTAGAAATCAGATAAGGGCCCCATGAAAGGCCATTTCCTGAAGTCATCTAAGAGCTCTACATAGAGGGACATGTAGGCTGAGCGATGAGGAAAGTTTGGAAGTACCCACTTGTGCCCACTCTCGATGCAGACTGCCATTGCCAGACTGTAACTCTGCCAGCATGTACAGCTGCGCCCCTTTACCCCCTCATTTTCTCCTAGACTGTCTTAGTCTAGGCTGACTAGAGAAACAACTCCAAAGACACTCATATATGTGTAAGAGAGAATTTTATATCAAGAAGTAATTATGCACCAATAACGCGTCCCAATATTAGCTCAATGTTAGCCCATAAGTCCAATATTAGCCCATGAATTCCTCTTCAGATTCACCCAGCACATGGAATGATGCTGAATGACGAAAGATCACAGGCTAGTGGGTGGAAAGTCCTGTGGATCCAATGGCAGAGGACACATCGCATCTCCAGGGCTCTGGCTGCCATCAGCTGACTCCATATGGTTTGGCAACAGGAAGATGAAGCAGAGAGTGTCCCACCTCCATGAAGGAAGCGAGGAAACTCCAAGAATCCTCATGAGAAGGCTGTGCCACAGGCTAGACTCCACCCCTTCATTCTTTTATCAAGTTGACGAGACATTGTGTAACTTCCACATAGACCCATGCCAGAGCGGCCAGAAAGAAATGCTCATTTCCAAGCCTAAAGCAGAGCCAAGCTTAAGGAAGGGGTGAATTTAAGTGAATTTGAAGTTTTAATATAACTCTTGGCAGTACACTGGGTTCTCTCCATATATAGTCTTTCGGGCCTTGGGTGCGTAATTCCATCGAAATGATTGATTAGATCACAGTCTGCCCTGTGATTGATCCTTTTTTTTTGTTTTAATGCACCTTGCAGGGATTTTTCAATTTACTATGCAAATAGTGGCTTGAAAATCATCCAATAGAACTGAATAAATTGTGGGACTGGTTCATTTGTGGTCCCACTGGAATGACTATGCCTTGAAATTGATGAGAAGCTTGCTTACATAAAGATCAACCCCACAGAGTGGAAGGGGACTTTACTATCATCAAGAAAACTATAGACAACAACAACAAAAGCTCCTTTGAATGTAGGGTACCGATGCTGAGAAACTCCTAGACCCCACAGAGAGAGCTCTAACACTGAAGACAGCACGAGACAGGAAACAAGGAGAAAGTACAACAAAGCCCAGCAGCAGAGAAATGGAGATCTGTGTGCGACAGCACAGTGGGCTTGCAAGCCCATGATGAGAGAGCCAAGTGCCTTCAGGTAGAAAGTTTGCTGGGACAGTGAGTGCTTCTGGGCACTTACACGAGCTGAGAGAGGCAATAGGAAGGCCTGATGGTAGAACCAGCAGCCAGAGGCCCACCAGAGGGGCCCAGTGCCAGTCAGTGGTGATGACAGAAAGCGCTGCTAGGAGACCAGCAGCTGAGAAGGCTGCTATACTGGTCATGAATTGGGCCAGTTAGGAGGAGAGAGGGTGGCAAGACAAGCCAAAGGCCACGAAGGCCTGACTGTAGGCTCAACTGGGACTGCTGAGACCGTCATTGGCCAACACAAAAAAAGAAGGGTGATTGTTTACCTCCACCAAGAAGGGTGGTCTGCCTAGGAGCTCATCTAGTATGGCCTAGAAGGGTCATCAATCCACATGGCCAAAAAGGTTGGCCTGCTTGTTTGCTTAGCCACAAAGTGCCAACAGAGCCGTCCTAGTTGGAAGTTGTCCTGATTGA